ATTGAATGACAAATTAATTGATTTCAGAAATTGTCGAAAATTATTGACAATTAATGCCAATTATAATGACAACCAATTGAGTGATGAATCGGAAGAGCACCGGGAGATACAGGGATTGAATGAAGTGGTGGACGAGAAAAGCGGTGAACCGGAAGCATATGTGGTGTCAGAGGAGACACAAGAAGTGCAGACTTTGGACACAGAGGTCGACGACAGAGACAGAGATGAGACGAAAGGAGCGGAAGAGATGTCGGAAGTAGAAGAGGACGGAGAGAGTGGTGTCGGAGAAGAGGTTAACAGAGAAGACAACGATAATTGTGAACCGATTGCCAGCACTAGTAGTTCGGGTGATAAGAGTGTCTCCAATGAGCGCCCATTTGTGTGTTTTTGGCCCAATTGTGGCAAACGATTCGCTCGAAAAGATCATCTCAAAGAACACAAGAGTGCCGTCCATTTGAAGCTTAAGAGATTCAGATGCGATGTCGAGGGTTGTGGTCAACTATTTTTTCAGAAGTCTAATCTCAATGAACACAAACGCCTGCATTCGGGAGAAAAGCCATTCAAATGTGATTTCAGTGATTGCGGTCAATGTTTCGCACAAAAAGAGACATTAAAGAGACATAAAAGCGCCGTTCATTTGTGACTCGATTATATGAAACAGCGACAATTGTTTCTATGAGTAATATAAGATTAAGATTTTTATAGAACGTGGTGCATTGGTTTACTATGAGACATGCTCCAAATAAAGCTTAATCCTATATTACTCATAGAAATAATTGTACCTCTTTCATATAATCGAGATACATTTGAAGGAAAAGAGATTTCAATGCAATTATAAGAGATGCGACAAAAGGTTTGCACTTAAAATGGATTTATTTCGTCACAAACGGGTCCACTCGGGAGAGAAGCCCTATGTTTGTGATGTAAATGATTGTGGGCAAGGGTTCACAATTAAATCAAATCTAACCCGACACAAAAAACGCAAACATTTGAGTAATTTTACAAATTAATTATTTTACTAGTTTCAAAATTTGTGAAAATAATTTGTATCGATTTGCATGTCAAATAAAATAAATTTTTAAAACTATTGCTAGAATTTTATTTTTAAATCTAATTCTGATTAAATTTTTGGGACAATTATCGCTAATTTAGAAGTTTTATCCAAATACTTACTAAACTGCAAACATTTATATAAAATTTTTGTGAACTACAATATACAAGTATAATATAATAACAATGCATATGCTTGTTAAACACTTATCTATAAAGGTACATATAAAGGTAGTTTTAGTTAAAACAAAAGTACAACAATATACGGATATGTAGATACTTACCATAACAAAACCAGGTGCTTATTGGCAGTAAATTCTCCCAGTTCAGATATACCTATATATACGATGCAAATATATGAAAAACAATAAACCGTGTTTTGGATAATAGAAAGTGAAATGAAAGCACCTAGTGCAGTTATAGTGCTCATAGTATGTCTGTCGGCGGCCACACCACTTCTGGCCTCCAGTGCCGTCGGCGACGTTGTCGGCAAACTGACGGTCGGATACCAGGGATGGTT